GAAAGAATCAGGTACTCCGGGGGTGGAGTGGAGTTTCGACGTCATAGGGAGATTTTCGAGCACAACAGCCTGAAACGAAATCGATTTCCTTGATCTGCCCCATTTGCGAGATCTCCACACCCAACGGCAATTTGTAGCAACACGTCCTTACTTAAGCTGGGATCAGATCATACAAGTGCGACGTCTGCAAGGAAGACTTCACTCAACAGTCCACCTCCAAGAAGTCTCAGCCCTTAAATGCCACTCCTGCCTATTTTACTATCCATTGCGATTACGGAACTGGATAGGCGGATCTTTCAAAAATACTGATACATGCAAACCAGAACCTCGTGACGAACTTCTAGGGACATTTACCTAGCGAATAGCGACGTCCTACGTTTACATCGCTTTGCATCTGCGCTTACATTGTTGGGACACTAAATTCGATGAAATTTCATGTAAATTCATGAAAATTCATGAAATTTTTTCGAACATCCTCGACTTTAATTGCTTGAAACTTGTAACAGGTTGAGTCGACATGGCTCGTGACCAACTTTCTCGAATTAATTCGTTGGGTACATCGAAATAGTGGTCATCGAGAAGACGTACTCCGAGAGAAGAGAATTACTTAAGTGACTGTTCGTGACGATCATTTGTATATTTTCATCGACATATTTCCGATAAAGGTTTTCTAAAACGTGTTAAATGAAATGTGAGGTAAGGAAAGTACTAGCTGAAGTATGTCTTTTCTGGGATCCTGGAAATAGAGTTTATCGATTCTGCGCGTTGTCGACCTTTCTTGCTGTATAGAAATAAATACGTTGATATTGGAAAATTCAATTTGCGTACCGTTTACGTGAAATGACTATTCAATTTACGAGGAGTTCAACTTGCTGCTTCCTGTTCTGAGAAGTTGTGATTTTTTAAAGTGATATGAAAGGGTCATTCTATATATATAGCGTCAAAATGTTTATAAACCTTTTCTCTAAACTGGGTGCACTCAATCGTTGGAAACCTTATCACATGATTATTGAGACCCTAAGGAAGAACGCAATGTTCATAAAATTTAATTTTTCAAACAATAGTATGTGTCCTTGGTTCTAGTTTGGGAGTTTGGAAATTTGATTTTTTATCAAAAATTTTGAAAATAGCCCTAAATAAATCAGATTAAAATTGAAATTTCATGACATTGAAATTTCGGGGCATTCCTTACAACCATATTCATGTTGTAAACTTTGAAACGATTCGATAGACCCAGTTAAGAGAAAAGTTTCATAAACGAGACCTCTGCGTGGCCACTTCACATCACCTTAAACCAAAGTGTCCATCTTCTTTCCGACGTCGCCACCATTTTGTTAGTTTCGCAGTTAACAATTTCGATCCGATGGCCCGATGACACCTGAATTAGTCATCAGATTTTCCAGTGGCAAGCGAATGATTCAAGCTACAATCGATTTGGAACATCGGGAACGGAAGGGAGATAAGATTAACGTATTCCTCTTGTTTCAGGACTTGCGAAGACCCCTTGCTGATTCAACCATACACGAAGATTTTGTACGGGAACAAAGCTGTCTGGGTGCCAGTTGGCAAGGAGCAGGTTGAATTCCCCGAGAAATCGTGCAACTTCAACCGTGCAGAATATCCGAAAGACATTGAAAGGCAAAATATGAAGAATATCGAAGACTCTCCCGACAACTTTACGAATCATTTTTGCGACGATTGCGGAATGCTCTTCAACGGAGAGAACAAGTTGATTTGCCATCGAGCTTTAAAGCACATAAAGTCGGGTCCTTGCTTTTGCCCAATCTGCCAGAGGTCTATAAAAGACGCTAGGAACCTACTTCAACATATGTTGTTGCACACGCGTACAAAGTTATACAAGTGCGACAAGTGTGGTGACAGTTTCAAACAACGCGGATTTCTGACCAGACATGTCCGGAAACATGCTGGGACGTACATTCCTCCTCCTCCGGTTCGACTCAAGGATATTATTAATGATATTCATGACTCGTTGCTCTCTCAAGTACACTGAATGTCGGGAAGGGGTACAACTTTATTCACTGTGATTTCATTGTTGACTATGTTTTTTAACCCTTTGTACTCCCAATAATCACATTTATGATGCTAACTGATTAATGTTTCGTCTCTAAAATGATGTGCGATACAAAACTCCTAAGGTGTTATTCTGTGAAGTTGAGTTTTATTTTATTTTTATTAATATCTACATATATGTACTACATTGACGACGAAATCGTTAAAAGTTAATAGTATTTATTTATACATCTTCTCTAGTCGAAATGGGTACATGAGACTGTGTCACAAGTGACAGAAAGATTTGTTGTTTTTGAACGTTTTTACTAATGTTAAGATGTATAAACAATAATGTTTATGCTTTCGGTTTTATGTGCAAGATATGTATTCTGCAGGAAATTCATTTAGAATGACCTGCTCAGTTTTTATAGGATCACATCGGACAATTTGATTTCCATTTTTGAGAGAAGTGGAGAACTATACTCACATTCGTTTTTCATAATTGTTGGAATTTAATTACGCGAGAAATCGTACAATTTATTTATTTTTTTTTACTCAATGGTCATCTAGAACGTACAATGTGTAATGATAGTATCCATTGAACTTGGCTCACTTGCTTGATGACTCTATACATGTTTTTACTTTGTGCTCAAAATGTTACCGGTTTATTTATGAAAACATTTTCTCGAATTTTATTGACATTCTTCGTAAAGTTGTAACCGAATTATGTACAACTTTATTTTACGCCTATAAAAAGAAAAGTGTATAGAATCTTTATTATAAAAAATCCTAATCCATGTGTACATTATGTATTATGGTGTCCCTTCAACAACTGAAAGATGCATTCCTTTATGTTATTAATAACTAAGATTGTCACTTTCTCCTCGAAATTTCTGTGTAAATCTGTTTTTACAGGAAATGTAAACATCACGATTCCCGAAGAAATTGCGGTTGTGAATCCGATAAGTATTTAATATCCAAAAAGGAACTAACAATAGTGTACTTTCGTTCCAAAAAGCTCCCCGAGAAAGAAGACAATTATGCTTCTTAAAAAACTTCAAATTAAGTTAATGGATGCAATTTAATAAAGAAACGTTGTAGTTCAGTTTTAACGAAGAAATAAGTGGCCAACAAAGGGCGGTATACTTATGTCTTTACCCTAGCATAACATTAAATCGACGGGAACAACAAATACTTCATATCTAACTTTCAGGATCGTGCAAAAGCTCTGCTTGCGAATGGTCAGTTAAGGGAGATAAACCCTGGGACAGTCGAAAAGATACCTCATCCTGGATAATTTTATGTGACACTCGTAAAGCAGCTAAACAAATAAATGTTTTTTCACGGAATTAGTGAAGATTTGAATGATTGAAAAATATTTTCTTTTCTGCGTACATATATTTTTATTTCGGTATAAAGTGAACATTTTAATTTGGCTTTGTAAGATACGCGCAGTCTCCATCCGCCCTATACCTGAAGTTTTGAAAAGTCATTAAAAATCAAAAAGCCTAAGATTTTAATATATTTGAAGGCGTACTGAATTTGTAATATGGGAATTATTCGCAGAATGCCGCGTTTAAAAGGAAAGTTCGAAAATGGTCCAAAAAAAAAAGAGTACCAATTTTTTGGAATTTTTGGGCGAAATTTCACCAAAATAAAAATATATTCAATTAAATAAAAAAGAAAATATTCATCAACAGTTCCAGTGATAACTAATACCATGCAAAAGCATTAATTTGTTTATCCGCTTTGCGGGCGTAAGAAAAAATTCTCTAAGTCGAGTTATTCTTTCGATTTTTTCAGCGTTCGTTTTCCTGCAGCTCCGGAGAACCTTTCCGCAAACACCATTCGTAGCGACAAGAAGTTAGAAATTAACCAAGTTCTCTTGATTTCAGGAGCAGCACAGACCCACTTAGAATCCGATCTTACAGAAGAATCGAGATCGGTGGTAAATCGGTCTGGATACCGCACTTAGAAGCGGAACCGCTTTTCGACACCCAGAGAGCATACGTGAAGATCGAGATCGATGGAAGGCCAGCTTGGGTGCCGAGCTCGAGCATAGATCATCGACAGGATAATCCTCACCAAGTTCCCCGTAAAACCACCGTCGACAATTCCAAGTTGTGCATCACCGAGTGTAAGATCGAATACGCGGAGCAGGAAGAAGTGAACGACTTGCTGAACAGCCTCGGCACCCGTTGTCCCTTCTGCGAGAAGGTCTTCAAGGATGGACCAACAGTGGAAACTCACATCCGAGCGGTGCACAAAAGGCCCCAGCAGTGCGATCTCTGCGAGAAGTCGTTCTTCACTTCCCGAGTGTTCGAGAAGCACAAGAGAAGCCACGACTACTTCTTCGAGTGCTCGATCTGCCACCTGAAGTACAAACGAGAGGAGGGCTTGAAGCAGCACCACATCCGCGTCCACAGCAACTGCGAGCCGAAGTTCATGTGCGACCACTGTGGTAGGCGCTACAAGCTGAAGATAGACTTGTTGTGTCACATCGACAGGATGCACATGTGTAACCTACGAGTGTGTCGGGTCTGTGGGAAGGAAGTTAAGGACGTGCGGTCCCACGAGAAGCGGCACCAGAAGCAAAATCGAGCCACCCATTTCCAGCACCCTTGCCCACTTTGCGTGAAGAAGTTCCACGACAAGACCATGTTGGACAACCACTTGTTGAGGCACGAGCAAGGATTTAAGTGCCCAGAGTGTGGGGTGGAGTGCCGAGGTCCCACTGAGCTGTCCAGACACAAAAGGACGAAGCACAAACACCTGGCTACGACCTGCTCCATCTGCAAGAAGGTCTTCCCCTCGGGGAACAACTTCTATCAGCACGTCCTCACTCATGCCGGGATAAGGCCGTATAAGTGCGACGTCTGTGGAGAGGACTTCACCCAGCGGTCCAGTATGCTGAGACACAGAAGATCTCATCCCTCTCCTTTGCCACCTATTCCCCCACCGACGCCGATTGCGGAACTCGCCAAAAGGGTCCTGCAAGAATTCTGAAATCTCTGCGGGAGATGTCCTGGCATGGACATTCTACTGAGGTGTTTTAATAAGTAACTGCAAACTAAATACTGCAAAATGTTTTTAATTTCTTTTGGCCAACTTTCATTTTTCACAATTTGGTAATTAACGGCCATATAGTAAAAAGTGGGAAAGGGACTATTTGTTTAAAATTCCACCCTCTTTCTCCACCTAAGAAATTAGTTAATCGATACGGAACAGCCTATACTCGAAGTTTAACAAAAGAAATCTTCAAAGGTATTCAAGGAAGGGTAACGTTAGTTTTGTTATTGTTGTGAATTTTTATGTAAAATAAACTGAGCCATTCATTATTGTAGAAATTTTTTTTCTAAGGGCATTGGATAGAACTGTCTAAAACTTTGAGACATGATTCGTGAGCACCTAGGATTTATCCTGACGCTTTGAAAATTTCGACTTTTCAAGAAAATTGTTTAACTCTCCTTAACGTATTAAATTCTAGGTGCCTCGTAATATATTTTAAAGTGCGTCGTGTTTTTGAGAGAAGAACAAAAGTTATCACAACTTGCTGAGAAAGGTGAGGTAATTAAGGAGGACGGTAAATACAGAGAAATGGTTCGTCGACAGTAATATGTATGTTGTTACTTGTATATATCTTCTTGAAGAATCCGTTTATAAATTGAGATTATTAAGTGTTCACTTGTAAGAATAAATTATTCTCCCGATATTTATAGCATTTCGCGAGTGCCATGCTTGCACTTCGACGATATACTTTGATAATGGAATTGCAAAGTTCGTCGGAAGAGCGTCCGGAAAAGCTGCACAAAATTAATTCCATAGCAGAGAAATGCTGCGAAGGAAAGAGCAATGATTCCAATGATCTTACACCGAGAAGAAAGACTATCACCCCTTATCACCGCAAACTGTGAAATAGGCACCAGTCTCTAAAAATGACATGACTTATAACCAGGTAGAGAAAGATAAATTTGTAGTTATTCTCTCTTTCTGCAGGGATATATCATATCTGTGTTAGAGCCGAAATCACAGCTCGCAATGATAACGTTTAACGCAATTTTTCCTCAGTACCCAAGACACTAATCAGGTCCAACTGCGTGCAGAATGAAGCGAAGTCAACGAAGCTAACCGAATTCTCTTAATTTCAGGGAAGGATACGACCCTCTTCGAATCAAGTCCGAAGTGCCGGATGCTTGGGAAGAAGCTACCGAAGCTTCAACTTCGATCCATTCCGATATCTGGGTGAAGTCCGAGTGGATGTACCCATACTCCTGTATGTCCGAGTCGGAAACTTCCCTTAGCACGTCAAATGCTCCCGAGCACGTTAACGGAGAAGCTGACCAAAACAAATCCCCAGGCAAAAAGTCCATCCCAGATCCTGCGAGAAATGTTCGAAGAAATGTCAATTGTCTGGAGGGAATCCGGGAAAATCGAAAGCACCCTTGCGAAGAAAGTCAGAAGATCATCGGACACGCGAAACGGCAGAGGCCGAAGCGCTACAGATGCCACCTTTGCACCAGGTCCTTCGTAACCGTGAAGTTGCTCGAAGTGCACAGGAACGAGTACCACAGCACCAACTACATAGAGTGCTCCATTTGCAACCACAAGTACAAGTCTCAGCGAGGTCTGACTCAGCACGAGACCAGGGTGCACAGCATCTGCGAGTCCAAGTTCGAGTGCGACTACTGCGGCGATCGCTTCAAGTTGAAGATCGACGTGTGTCTGCACATCAAGAGGAAGCACATGTACTTCGTGGAGGAGTGCCGCTTCTGCGGGAAATCTGTCCGGGACAGAAGCGCCCACGAGCGAATCAGACATCAGGGTCGCAAAGTCACGGACTACCCTCACGCGTGTTCCCAGTGCACCTTGAAGTTCGAGTCCGTGGAGAAGCTCTACACCCACGTCCTGGGACACGCTAACGGCTTCAGGTGCTCCGAGTGTGGCATCAGGTTCTCCACTTTGGAGCTGATGACCGACCATAAGATCCAGAAACACAAACCTGCTTCCTGCGTCATCTGCAACAAGCCCTTCAGTACCAGACGGAATATGTACCAGCACGTCCTCACTTACCACAGCAACATCAAGCCCCAGCAGTGCGATATCTGTGGGGAGGCTTTTAGGAAAAGAAACGTCATGCTAGATCACAGGAGCGAGCATCCTGGACCTCTACCTCCGATCCCGCGGCTCCCAAAACGCGCACCGATCGCCAAACTCGCTAAGATCATTCTGCAAAAGTATTCTTCGTTGTGTCAATGATCATTTGTCGCGGTGATAATTACGGTGGCAAGAACTATGTTGCGAACCCTCTCAGGAAGCAAGCTTCGCACTCGGCGTGCCTTAAGCTTTGCGTTAAGCTTTAGACAAATATTTAGTTGGGTTGATAAAAGTTAGCTCAACCGTAGAAGATGATTATTATGTGGACCATCAATTGTTTGAGTGATATAGTAAAATTCCACGGTTAATTATTTTCGGTAGTTGGTGGTAGAATCACCCCATGTGTTTATGTGATTTGTGTGTCCACTTTGGAGCTGATGACCAACCATGAGATCTAGAAACACAAACCTGCCTTCTGCGTCATCAATATTTCAGTCGATAAACCAAATGCTTTCGTTAAATGTACCAAATTGTTTTAACATTTTGGGGTGATCTACTATAATATTTTATGTAGTCAATCGAAAGTTGTTAACCTAAGATTTTTATCATCTAAACGAAATATTTGGTGGTTGTTATAATAACCGTAATCCATGGTGGAACCAAGAAAATTTCTATTCATTCAAAATTACCTTCCGTCCCTATTATTACATTGCGATTGTACTGATGTTATGTAATTAATATTTCAGTGGAAACAGAAGACAATTTTAGAAAAACCACGATTGCAAATCGACTCGATCCTGGCTTTAGTTTTACAAATTTGCGTAATAATCGGGGAGACGCGTTATTTTGACGTTATTATACATATTCCAAATGTTTATAATTTTTGGACAGCTGTTTAGTCCCATCACTAGGATCGATGTCTCATTTGTTGAGTGAATGTGTTAGAATTTCGAAATTGTAAATAATTCTTAGGTTCGAAAGGAAAAATATCGATAGCTTAGAAATAACAAATGATACATTACAAATGATCATCGAAAGAATAAAATATACATTTTTAGGAATTCAGGGACGTTGAACTCTTTGAGTTCCTAACATGGTAAATGTCCCCGTTAAACAATATTGCGGAAAATCGTGATAATTTGTAAGAATTCGAGACTGTCCTAATTTTGCAGGAACATACCTTAGTGACAGTGTTTAATTGATTCTATTTCATACAGTTCTACATTGACGATACTGAAAAAATCGGTGCTTAACGCTATGAGTGTTGCAATTAAAACACTTAAATTAAAGAATATTAATATATATTATTAGCCCTTTGACTGCGAAAAATCTGTCTACACTGATTAAAGCCCATGTAAATTTACATACTGAATCATTGGTTATTTATATGGTAAATTACAGTAAAATTACATTGTCTCCGTGACATCACATTAAATTCAAGTAAAAATGCACCAATACGGCAAATATAAAATGTCAGGGCTATTTACACATTTTCTAATTTTCAATTGTTTCATTTTACGTTTTTCTGTCTGAAACTTCGCTAATACGTCGAAAGGGCTAAACCAGTCAAAGGGTAAATTATTCTTAATTATTCTTTCGCAAAATGCGCTTACGCGTTCGGTGCACCTTGTTTTGGGAATAATGAGAATTAAGATGAGATGTTAATAATAATCAGCGGCGATTTTAATGTCATCTTTTCTAAGCCGGAGGCAGATTGACTCGATAGACAAGAAATTCAAATTAAATAACACTAATGAAAATACGTACCTTGTGTTAATACCGAAACACAAAGACAAATGTAAATCGTAATTCACTGTAAAAAAAAAAGACACCAAAGATACGTTTCACTTTCATTACATGCGAGCTTACACCCGTTATCATGGCATAAGAAGTTTCACTTCGAAGATGTAAGTGCAACAATCATCCCGAGAGCCAACGAAAGTTAATAGACTTCTCCTAATTTCAGGAATGAAGATCAAGTGCCATCTCGAGTAATGAGGCGCAATCATGTTGGTGCAATATTCCCCTGGATCCTATCATCGATAAAACAAGATCCAAGTGATGATAACGAAAGTCTCGAACAAGGTGAAGATATCTACTGGTTTCCGTATTCGATAAAGCAAGATGATGATGATAACGAAAGGATCCAACTTGAGACGAATTTCGGTTGGATATCATCAATAATCAAAGAAGATCCAGACGCCGAGGACATGGATCCATCCGAGAATGATAAGGAAAGTAACCAACTAGAGAGGAGTTTTGACTGGATATCATCTGTTATCAAAGAAGATCCAGACGCCGAGGACATTGATCCATCCGAAAATGCCAACTGGTGTACTGTACACGCGACAAACTCAATTGTTTCCAACGAACTGGAATCCGTGATAAAGAAGGAGCCAGTCTATGCCGAGCTGGACAACTTAAACGGAAGAGATTTAGATGACAATGTGGCAAGAGTTCAGACACGATCAAGTAGAGATGGCCATTGTCAGAGAACAACTTCACCCAGAACACCTAACAACATTTTGATGACTTTCGAGTGCACGGATACAAAGTTAGAGATCGAGGAGGAATTTCAAAGTCCAGCCATAGCTTCCTCGTTGGAGTTTCCGAAGAAATGTAAAGAGGAAGACCCTGAGCCAAATGAAAGTCCCAATTCGAAGCCTCTCGCCATGAGAAGGCAAACGGCGAGGAAACGCACTTCTCGAATAAGAAGAAAGACAAGCTTCGATTCATCGAACTTCAACGAACAAGAAGCGAAAATCGAGCCTAGGGATTATTTTCAGTGTTCGATCTGTAACCTGAAGTACAGGACGAAGCAGGGCTTGCAACATCATCGACTCAGCGCCCACGGAGTGCTTCGATCCGAGGAAGTCGAGCGAAGCTTGAGACTTCACGGCGCGAAGCATAGATATGAAGAAGATCGCGGCCCGACGAAGATCACGAAGCGTTACCTCTGCTACCAGTGTAATGAAAACTTCACCGTAGCTGCGGAATACAGAAGACATCTGAAAACGCACGAGAGCGAATACCACGAGTGCTCTATTTGTAGGGTGAAGTGCAAAACGAAGCGCGGTCTGATACATCACCAATCCTGCATCCATAACGTAGGGGAGTCCCTGGAAGAAAGTCAAAAGATGAAAATCCGCTCGTCGAAGAAATATCGATCGAAGAAGCGCGGTAAAGTTTACTACTGCTACCTCTGCGGACAGAGCTTCATGAAGCTTCAGGCCCGGGACGAGCACGCGAAGTCTCACAAGACCAACTACGTGGAGTGCTCGATCTGCAACTTGAAGTACAAGTCCAAGGTGAGTCTGCAGCACCACTACACGCGCACTCACGTCGTCAACTCCAGGAACTTCTTCTGCGACTATTGCGGCCAGTGCTTCAAGCTGAAGCTCGACATCAGGAGGCACATAGTCAGGAGGCACATGTGCAACCTGAAGCAGTGCCGATTTTGCGGAATGGCGGTAAGGAACTTGTACACCCACGAGTGGCAAGTTCATAAGAGGAAGACCGCGAACTTGCAGTACCCTTGCAGCCATTGCGAGATGAAGTTCGACTCGAAGATTAAGCTCGGGAACCACTTGCTGAAGCACGAGTGGGGGAACTTCAAGTGCAACGAGTGCGGGCTCGATTGCCAGGGATCTCGGGAATTGTTCGATCACAAGAGCAGGAAACATCAGCCGACGAGCTGCCCCATTTGCGGCAAGATCTACAGCACCAGCCGGAATCTGTACCAGCACATGCTTTTACATAGAGAGGTCATGCCTTACGAGTGTGACATGTGCGATTTGAAGTTTCCTAGACGATATAACTTGCTGAAGCACAGGGAGACTCACAGCGCCCCGGTTTTGGGACAACCACCACGGGTGGCCATTACAGAACTCGCCAAAGAGATTCTGCAGAATGCAAATTAGATTGGTCAGTTCCGTTGGTGGATGGTATCGAAAATAACAAAAATCTGATCGTTCTTTAAGCGTTGTGAACCCATAAGTGCGTCCGACGTTTGTTCCGATATTGCTTGCACGCCCTGATAAAATTCCCCCATACGCCAAAAGGGCTTAGCGCTCAAAGGGTTAAAAAAGCTGACCCTTAAATGAAATTTTGACCATTATGACTCTGGGTCATCACATCATAAATCTGCATTCTGTACAATCATACATGCAATCTGGTACTTTACCATATTCTTGAGCAGATAGTTGCAATTAATAATAGTCGGGGATAAAATGTAAATTTGTTTTTTTAGGAGTTTAATTTATATTTATTGTGTATTATGATACGATGACGTTAAGTAAGAATTACCCAATTTCCATTAGGGGGTAACTATTATTTATATATATAGTATAGATAACTTCGGAAGAAAATGACAGAACAATAAGATGTCATTTTTCGCTTACATAGTGTAGGAATTTTTCAAGATGGCGTCCTCCTGCGAAAAGTGGCAACTTTTTGGAATCCTACTTTTTCCTCATTTTCTCTAAAATTAAGAAAAAATGAACAGGTTACTACAGAAGGTTCATCGTAATTTATCATTCTTTCCCAAAACCTCGACAACAAACTCATGTTTACGAAGCTGTTGAGAACAATAACAGTATTTATCTTTGCGTTCGCAGACTAATGTTCTCAAAAAAGTAACGTTGCACCTGTAAACTCCAAATAAGTTGAGATAAGTTGAGAAAATAAATTACCGGAATTTCATACGTGCCATTAAAAAACCTCTATGTCTAGTTATGTATGTTGTTTTATAAAACATTTAAAACATCCTTTCGTTCAGTCTTAGACAAAGCTATCACGACGAAGGAAGAAGAAATTCTGCCCTAAATCGACTTGCATCCTTGCGAAGGATTTTCTTGATTATAAGGACACGATGGCGAGCACCCAAGAATTTGAAACATCAGAAATACGAAAGAAGGCTGATTTTATTCTATAGAAAGAAAGTAACCTGAATTTCGTTTTATAAAACATTTAAAAATTTCTTTCGTTCAGTGTTAGTTAAAGCTATCACGACGAAGGAAGAAGACATTCTGCCCTAAATCGACTTTCATCCTTTCAAAGGATTTTCTTGATTATAAGGACACAATTGCGAGCACTGAAGAACTTGACACATCAGAAATACGAAAGAAGGCTCCAAGAAAAAAGGAATTAACCGAGTTCGTTTGCTTTCAGGATTGCGGACGATCCACTTCGAATCCAACCTTATATGGTGGTCCACGTTCAAGGGCAGCCCACATGGACACCATACAAGACTGCACAACCACAATCGCATACAACAACTCCTTCGGCCACGTGGGTGAATTCCGACTGTCCGGATGTGAAACCAAACCCGGACGAATTGCAAGAGGCTTCCTTTGGTTTCCCGATGGATCCAGAACAGAAGAAAGCCACATTAGTTAGTTTGAAACAGAAGGAGACCCAAAAGAGTGAGAAAACGTGCTTCAAGTGTCCCGTCTGTGGAATAGGTTTCTTTACCCCCAAAGACCTAGACACACACACACGGATTCACAACGAGTTCCACCAATGTCCCGACTGCAGCTTCAAATCCAAATCGAAGCCAGGATTGAAGCAGCATCGAGTAAAGATGCACAACCCTATGGAACTACAATTCGCCTGCAACTACTGCGAGAGTCGCTTCAAGGTGAAAAACGACTTGATGCTTCACTTGGACAAAGCACATGCGAGGAGCCACGAAAGAAGGCAGTACAAGGGTCGACGAGCCGCCATAAACCGACAAGAAGCTTCAACCGAAGTTTCGGACGCTTCTAAAACGAAGCAAGACCCCGTCTTAGGTACTCTGAAGAAAGAAATTAAGTTGGAAATCTCGGACGAGGAGACGACGCTGAAGAACGAAGCGAAGAGCTGCAAGCAATTCTTCAAGTGCACCCGCTGCAGGTCCTCGTTCACCATGCAGAAGGATTTCCATGACCACAAAAAGACTCACGAGCCTCAATACTTGGAGTGTTTGATATGCAACCTGAGCTACAGGACGAAATTCAATCTTTATCAGCATTATGCCCAAGCCCACGGTAACTGCGATTCGAAGTTCGTATGCGACTACTGCGGGAAGACTTACGAGCTGAAGAAGGACTTGAAGCGGCACATCAAGCAGCACATGAATAGCATACAGACCTGCAAGCAATGTGGGAAGGAAGTGAAGGACCTGAAGCGGCACGAGGCGCTTCATCAAAGGGAAGATCCACCCACGTCTAGGTTTTTCTGCCGTCCTTGCCTCCGGGGGTTCAACACGCGGAAAGGACTTCGCAAACATCGGCTTAGGCACAAAGAGGGATTCGAATGCGAGACGTGTAGCGAAAGGTTCCAAGTGTACAGAGAATTGGTTCGCCATAAAAAATCCAACCACTATAACTATCCGAAGAGGAAACCCGTGCCGATTACTTGTCCACTCTGTAAGCAGCTTTTCCCCTTCAGGAGCAGCTTCTATCCCCACGTCCTCAAACATGCTGGGATCAAGGCGTATAAATGCGACCTTTGTGATGAAAGCTTCAACAAGCGGAAATCTATGCTCCAACATAGGAAATCACATGCACCACCATTACCTCCACCTCCACCTCCCGTTTCCATCGCGGAACTCGCCAGGAAAGCCTTGTCCAAATTTTAATTCACGATGGCAAGTTTAAATGATGTCAAGATTAAACGATGCTGATATAAAAGGGTCATTCTATATACATAATAATAATTCAGGCAAAAGTTGCCTGCCATGGTATGAAAAATAAAATTAATTTCAGGAGTTTCTTCAATTTCTTTAGTGGTGTAATCGAAAAAATGAGATTTTTGTTTCTCGCGTATTGTTTAGGCTTTGATAAATTGGAATTGTTGTTAATGGTTCCCAGAGTACTTGAGTGGGGCTTATGAGTTGAAGAATACGCGTGTTCTCACTTCATTGTTCATAAACAACTTTATTCTTCTTC